CCCCCCCCCCCCCCCCCCCCGGGGGACCTGGGGAATTCCTCGTGTTCGGGGAGCCGGGGCTGGGTCAACTGGCAAACGACCAATGCTCGGGGGGCGGCGCCGGTGGGGCTGGCCGTGTGTGCCCGGGGCACGGCCCGGGCCGGGCCCCCAGCGGTCTGGACTTCCGGCCGGACAATCACAACAATGGCCGAAACAATAACACACGCCCCGAGACCTGGTGCCTGTTGTCGGCCATGCCTCGCGGGCCGGGGAACCGAGGGGAGGGGGGGGGGCGTGTGGCGGTCGGCACGCCCTCCCACGGCCAGGGGACCGCGCGCCGAGGCCTGCAAGGGTGCTGCCGCACACACGCAAGGCCGAGAAGAGCAGGCGCCCGGCAAGGTGACCGCGGGCCGAGTTGACGAGCAGGCGGGCGTGCGGGCGGGCATGATCGTGCCGTGTCGCGGCGGCAGGGGGGCGCCGGTGGCCCAGCATCAAGGGTCGAGCCCGGCCTGCCTCCGCCCTACTGGGGGGGGAGGGGGGCCCGGGCGGGGCAACCATCTGGCCTGTCTCTGTCAGCTCTGGCAGGCCGCCGGCGCTGGGAAGTGGCGAGGCGCATGCGCGAATGCCAGCGACGGCGCGTGGCCGGGGCGCGCATGGGCCTCTGCACACGTACGCGCACACGCACATGCATGCCAGCAGACGCCCCGCCAGGGGCGGCAGTGTCTCTTCGCGGGGAGGAATGGGCCCCGGCCATTAGCCCCTTTCCCGGTCTCGTATGACCATCCCCCTTGACATATGTGCGTGTGCATGTGTGCGTGTGCATGTGTGTGTGTGAGTGCGTGCAGGCAGATATTTCTGTACGCGCGCACACACACACACATGGGCGTCTCCGTGCGCGTGTTTTTTGTATGCATGTGTCCCGCGGGCCCGGGGGGGGGGGGGCCCAGAGACGGGGTCATCATGCGCGACACCTCCACCCGGTGGAGGGCTTGCCCTCGGGGCTGGGCCGGCGGTGACAGGTGGCCGACCTCTCGGCCGCGCC